TCCATCTATCTGCGCTATTTACATACACACACGTGCTTTCATACTCACGCACCACACACGCGCGCTCGTACTCACGCGCACACACACACGCACGCACACACACGCGCTGCGTACTTCACGCACACACCACGCGCTCGCTACTTCACGCACACACACACGCTCTCCTACTCACGCAACAACACGCGCTCGTACTCACCACACACCACACACGCCTCGTTACTCACGCACAACACACGCTCACACTCACGCACACACACGCGCTCATACTCACGCACACACCACACACGCACAAACACACACACACACACAAACACACACACACACACAAAACACACACACACACACACATACACACCCATACACACACACATAACACATACACACACACAAGTCGTACTCACGCCCACCCACACGCACGCTCGTACTCACCGCACACACGCGCCGCTCGCTACTTCACGCACACACACACGCTTCGCTACTCACGCTACACACACACACACTGCGCTCGTACTCGGCGCACTACACGGCGCGCTCGCACTCACCCACACACTCGCGCTCGCACTTTCACGCACACACACACAGCGCTGCGTACTCACGCACATAGCACACGCCTCCGTACTCGACGCACACACGACGCGCTCGTTACTCACGCACACACACACACGCTGCGCTACTCACGCACATACACACGCTCGTTACTCACGCACACACAACGCGCTCGTTTACTCACGCACACAACACACACGCTCGTTACTCACGCACACACACACACGGCACCACACACACACACACACACACACACACACACACACTTTGCTCTCGCACTCACCACAGCATCACGCGCTTCGTACTCAACACACTACACACGCGCTCGCACGTCACGCACAACACACACGCCGCTCGCTACTCACGCACATCACGGGCGTGCGTACTCACGCACATGAACACACCTCGTACTCACGCACACACACACACACGCTCGTACTCACGCACACACACACACACACACACACACACGCGCGCGCGCCGCGTATCTCACGCTACACAAGCACGGCACATGCACACGCACACACACACGCGCTTCGTACTGCACGCACACGACACACGCGGCTCGTACCTCACACACACACACACAGCACACACGCGCTCGCACTCACGCCACGACACACGCGCCTTCGTACTCACGACCACACACCACACAACACGCGTCGTACTCACGTCACACTACACGCGCTCGCTACTCACGCACACACCACGCCGCCTCTACTCACGCACACACACTCACGCGCTGCGACTAACGCGACACACACACTGCGCTCGATTTACTCACGCACACACACACGGCGCTCGTACTCACGCACCACACACTACCGCTCACACGCTCTGTACACACACACACACCACACGCTCGTTTATCAACGCACTGACCACACACGCGCTCGCACTCACGGCCACACACACACGCTCACCGCTCGTTACACACCACACACACACACACACACACGCTCGTACTCAGCTGCACACACCACACGCGCTCGTACTCACGCACACACACGCACGCTGCGTACTCACTCACACACAACGCGCGCTCGTTTACTTCACGCCACACACTACGCGCTCGTACTCACGCGGGACACACACACACACACACGCTCGTACTCACGCCACACACACGCACACATCACCGCGTCGTACTGCACACACACACACACTACTGCGCTCGCACTCACGCACACACGCCGCGGCTCGCACTCCACACAGACACACGCGCGCTCGCATTCACGCACACACACACGCGCACGTTACTCACGCAAACAACAGCAGCGCGAGAACATATAACGATATACACACACACACAACCACAACACACAGCACAACACAACACACACAACCCACACACGCGCAGCGACGCGCAGCTGCGTACTCACGACCACAACACACACACACACACACACACACACCAACAACAACGCGACGCGCGCGATCGTACTCAACGCACACAACACCGCCCTCGATACTACATACACACACACACGCAGCCCGCTCGTACTACACTCCAACACACACGCCTCAGTACACCCGCACAGCCACGCGCGTCAGTAACTCACGCAACACACACACGCACACACACACACTCGCTGCTCGCACTCACGCACACACTTCTACGCGCTTCGTACTCACACACATTACAAACGCGCTCGTACTCACGCACACCACACCGCACACACACACACACACACACACACTCCGCGCTCGGCCACTCACGCACCACACACACGCGCTCGTACTCACGCACACACACACGCTCGTACTCACACACACACACGCGCTCGCACTCACGCACACACACACGCGCTCGTACTCACCACACACACACGCGCTCGCACTCACGCACAACACACATACGCGCCTCGTAGCTCACACACACACCACACACGCGCGCGCGCGCTCGTACTCACGCACAACACACACACCTCGTACTCACGCACACACGGGCGCGCTCGTACTTGCACGCACACACACACACGCTCGTTACTCACGTACCAACACACGCGCTTCGTACTCACGCACACACACGCGCTTCGTACTCACGTCACACACACACACGCGCCTCTGTATCACGCACACACACACGCTCGTAGTTTCACGCACAACACAGCACGCGCTCGTACTCTCGCACACACACACGCTCGTACTCACGTACACACACTCGTGCTCGCACTCACGCACACACACGCACACACACACGCGCGCTCGTACTCTCGCACACACACACGCTCGTACTCACGTACACACACTCGTGCTCGCACTCACGCACACACACGCACACACACACGCGCGCTCGTACTCTCGCACACACACACGCTCGTACTCACGTACACACACTCGTGCTCGCACTCACACACACACACGCGCTCGTACTCACGCGCACACACATACGCTCGTACTCACGTACACACACTCGTGCTCGCACTCACGCACACACACGCACACACGATCGTACTCACTCACACGCTCGCACTCACGCACACACACTCGTGCTCGCCCACAATATACGCACGCACGCACGGGCACGCACATGCACGCACGCACTCACGCACACACACACACACACTAGCACTCACACACATGCATGCACTCACGCGCGCACGCACGTATATATATATATACGGCTATAATTACCTTTGTTCTGCCTCTTCTTCTTCCTCATTACAATGAGGATGATTGCAGCAATTATCACTAATATGATGAGTATCACAATGACGATACCGAAGATAGCACCTCCAGACAGCAGCAGCTGCGGCTCCTCCCCGCCTACAATATACGTACATGCAAATTATCTACAACATGGCTGAACTTATGAAGGGGTCGAACGCTTATGGCAGTGCAAGTACTTACGGGGAGAACCAAGGCAAACGTTTCCTTTCAAGATGGCTTATCGACGCCCACTCACTCTTTTATCACCAATATTTATGTAAGAGAAATTGAGGAATGTCTATATGCAACATAACATAATTGCAAAAAGAGGCTTATTGCAATCGATATCGTCCATTTTTTAAGGGCACCACGGCAAGTAACCCACTACGCAGAAATGTGATGTATAACTTCTTCGCGAAGACAACGGATGTTTACAGAGTTCTTTATTGATGTGCTAGCTACCGAAGTTATGAATATAGAAACACTCTCATACTTACTGTACATACCTTTAGGGGTATGCACCATGAGTGGGTAGCTACTGCTCATGCCAATGTCATTCTTGGCAAAAATGTTAATCTCATATGTTCTGCCAGGCTCTGAAAATGACAGTAAAATTTTTAGAGCAATTAGTATTGTGGACAAAGGAAATCCATCAAGGAAATGTATTCAAAAAGTCTTCTTTTTATATTAGATTATGAATTCGCTGCATTTGCGAATGGTATTTAATCAATCTATACTCAATCAGCTGAATTTTCAACGAATTTTCAGCGTCACGCAATCACTTTAAAATTACAACTACTTGCAGTAGTGCGATAAGACAAGACACTTTATTAGATGAAATGCTGTGCCCTTGGCGTTTTACTTAATGAACACGTATACAGCATATAAACACGAGATTAACTGTTGTTATGTGAGCAACACATTTTGAAACACAGATTAATAAAAAAATTTTGTTTATATGTCTGTATTACACATTTCTGTATCAGATTTTTGGTGTTAGTTGGCCGGTAAACTTGCACGAATTACGTCATTCGCTCTTGCAGAAAACGCATTCGAAATCTATCTCACATAAAGTCATAATGGCCGATACATGCACATAACTACCGGTGAATTTCTGTTGAATAGTTTGCAGTTGTAACACAATGTACACATTATAATGGTAATATTATATATTTATAATACAAATACATAATAATACGATTTAATAATCATTGATAAAACACAGTGATATACGTCGGCCATATTGACGTACCGACAGAGATGTTGAAGATGGGCTGTGGGTTCTTTGCCACCTCTTCATTGTTCCTGAATAACAAGAAGTGCTGTGCCGAGCCGCCATCCTGACCCTTCGCACACTGGATGAAGATGTTCACCGGAGTGGTCTCGTACTCACAGGTTCGCACTACCTGAGGTTCAGCTGCGATGCAAGCGACAACGTGTAAGCATGATTGAAAAAGTGCCAGCCATCCCCCTTTATAGAACAGCTACCTGTCTATAAAGTAAACTTCCTTGTTTTCGTCGTAAACTAGACGTTTTGTCGAGTGACCCTTATATTTAGGTTTGAGTGTAAATGCCTTGCCAGCTATAGATGACCATTGAAATACATGATTATGTGTAATGCTGCTAATGCACATGTTAACAAATGCTTGATTAATAATTACTGTTACGCATTGATTCATTTAGCCATGCAAGGCTGATCAGGAAACTGTTTACCTCTATGAACAATATTTCGTGCATCAAACAGATGTACAAGCACGGCCATCGCTCGTATATAACCTATTCTATCATGCGCTCCATCATGCCCATTCTAAGCAATTAAGGAATACCCACTCCTCACCTGACTCACAACCCCCTTGTGTAGTAATTAAATAATAATAACTACACATTTTGTGATCTAGTCAAATCGACGAAGTTTACGAACTGACGTGCATACCTAGACTGACGCCGAACGTCATTGAAAATCAGCCGCGGAACCTTGCGAGCTAAGCCACTGGGTCAGTCTAACAGTCATGTGAGAATTCGCCGCAGAGCCTTGCGGTTTAGCACCGGTTTTTTTTCGGTTAGTCTAGCGCGAGGGAGTAGCTAGGCATACTCACACATCTTCCTAAAGTGAATGATGCATGGCTCGTGGGCTGTGCCGATGCGGTTCGTTGCCCTGCAGTGGTAATCCCTGAACTCAGTGTCCCTCGTCGCTCGCACGCTCAAGCTGCTAACCTGCCCATCCTCAAAGTCATCCTCAACCTCCTGGCCATCCACCGTCCACTCGAACGTGACCTTCGGAAAGATACGTCACGTAACGTCACCCCGGCCACATTGTGCAGACGAGCGAAAATCGAGAGAACGCGGAGCGGATAGTAACGAGCGTGGCACGACATTTCCAGGAAGTGTTTTATATCCGATCTTGCGGTAAAATGTGATGTTGCAGAGAAATAACCAGTATTGGTATTTTTACAATATTCTTCGGATGTGTTTCATATCTGTTCTGGCAGCAATGCTGGTAATTTTTCTGCAACATTCTGAAAAAATTGATTGCATCCATCTTCCGAAAGTATTTTCAAGGACGTGTTTCATATCCCTATTAGCGGTAGAGCTTGTGTAACAAGATTTATCACCTCTGGTGGATTGGCATAGACTTCACACCTCAGTACGACCTTCTCATTGACTGGCGCATTGAACGTTGTCTCAGTCTGCACGCAGACAGGTGCGTCTGTAATATTAATACACTCATCATCACGGTGAGGCTCTTAAGAGAGTCAGTATCATCACTGCCAATGTCAATAGGTCTGACCGTGTTACATCAGAAACATTGCACGATGAGAACAACCACCACAGCATCACGGTACTTGGTAGTCATTGCCATCATTAAAAAAACGTTAAAATTCTGACGGAGATCTTGTGTAAGCCTCACATAGGAAATCACTACGCACATGTACAGACAAACTTACATAGATATGCGTACATCTATATAGCTATACACACATAAATATTGAGTTATAAAGTTACGTATACATTTGCTCGCTGTTTGTGTTGAGTTTCAGTTTATCATATCGTCGTAACTTACATATCGTAGATGGAGTACATGATTTATAGAATTTATTTATTGTATACTTGGTAACAAAATTATTAATATGAAAGAAGCATGTGGTAATCAGGCACCTCTGGTTGTACGATGCTACAGCGTCACCGATATTTACTATAAGTTCTTTATTTTGTGGTTTTGCATGCAAGTGTACTTACGTAGGACGTTAATGACGGCATCTGCTCTCGTCTCTCCAAATGCATTGCTCACAGCACAAGTATAAATTCCACCCCGTTCCCTAGTCATTGTGTTGCCTAGCAACTTCAGCTCTACAAAGAAACATGGGAATTGCAAATTTTAGATCTCAACTTTTCGAAAGTTAAAATTTTTGCTCGATTTACTCTCATGCCGCGTCTCTGTCATAATCCGTTACATTATGGCTAGGCACTTAATTTATTATTCCACAAATTTACAGTCTCCAGCTGCTTCCACATTTTCGAGAAATGTGCAGTTACTAACAGAGGCACACAAAGCCGATTATAACTTCAAGCTAGACGCATTACTCTCACTATCTGGCTTACGGTTAAGATAGTTTCAGGTTCGAGCAATTTATTTCCAGTAATCGCAGAAAGGCCACACGGCCAACGATGATGACGTTATATACTCCTGACGAGCCTTAGTAGCCGAAAAACGTCTAAAGATAATTATAACGACTTGAGTACCGCTTTTTTCTTCGTCAAGTGAAATATCTTGTTGACTCTCTCGTGCTAAAGCAACGCCAAGATGTTTTAACTCTACACATGCAGCTTGCGGTAGCTAGCGAAAAATCACATGCGAATCGTGGATAGCATGTCGAGTGGGAAATTTCTGTAAGCGTAGGGTTATAGGACGCATCGACATACAGCTTGTGCGTACACGCGCAAATTCTAAAAAAAAATCGCGTATAAGCGGCAAATTTCAGCCACGACCAACGCAGCGTATCGTACATATACCTGGTCCCTCGGCCTCCACCACTCCGTTGCGTAGCCATCGAAACTGCGGCTCGGG